AAGAGGGGAATCGGTGATAGACTATGTGGTGGGAGAGGATAGAGTAAAGGAAAAGATAAAGAGAATGGAGGTGGGAGATAACATAGAGTCGGACCATCACCCTTTGATTGTAACGTTAGAAAGAAGAGGAGGTGCTGAAAAGGGGAAAAGGAAGGAAGGAAAAGGAATAAGAAAAAAGGGGAGATGGACGAAGAGGGGAGGAGAAAGAATAAGAGAGGAAATAGAATGGGGAGAGGGATGGAAAGAGGGAATAGAAGAGGAGCTAGAGGAAAAAATAGGAAGGATAGAAGAGGAATTGAGAGAAGGAGAAAAAGAGAGTGGAGAAGGAAAAAAGAAAGGGTGGTGGGATGAGGAATGTGAGGAGAAGAGGAAAGAAGTGAGGAGAAAGCTAAGGGAATGGAGGAAGAAAGGAGGAGGAGGAGAAGGATACAGAAAAGAAAGGGCAGAATATAAGCTAATGTGTAAAGGAAAAAGGGAGGAGGAGAGGATAAGATGGTACAAGGAAGCGATAGAGGCAAGAACGGAAGGAGAGGTATGGAAAATTATAAACAGGGAAAGGAAGAAGAGAGAAGGAGTGAATGAGGAGATAAAAGCGGAAGAGTGGAAGGAATATTTCATGGACTTATTGGGAGGGGTAGAGGTTAAAGTTGTAAGAGGAGGAAAAGAGAAAAGGGAGAGGGATGAGGAGCAGGAGATAAGCAGGGGGGAAGTAAAGAGGATATTGGGAAAATTGAAGAAAGGAAAAGCAGCGGGGGAGGATGGGATACCGAGTGAGGTATGGAAATATGGAGGAGAGAGGGTAGAAGAGTGGGTATGGGAAATGTGCAACAGAGTCTGGAGAGGGGAAGGATGGCCGGAGAGGTGGAAAGAGGGGATAATAGTACCACTGTTAAAAAAGGGAACGGGGAATAGGGTGGAAAACTACAGAGGGGTGACTTTGATGCCAACGTTATAAGGTGTATGTGGGGATTCTAACAGAAAGGTTAAAGGAGGAAATAGAGAGGGGGAATATGTTGCCGGAGAGTCAAACAGGCTTTAGGAAGGGAATGGGGGTGATTGACAGTATATATGTGCTAAACTACCTGATCAATAAAAAAGTGAAGAAGAAGGGAGGTAAGGTAGTAGCGGCCTTCATAGATCTGAAGGCGGCGTTTGACTCAGTGGATAGGGAGGTGTTAATGGAGGCGATAAGGAAGAGGGGGGTAAGAGAAGGGTTAAGTAGTAGGATAGAAGAGGTATACAAGGAAACGAGGAGTAAAGTAAGAGCGGGGAAGGAGGAAGGAGAAAACTTCTGGACGGCAAGGGGTGTGAGGCAAGGTTGTCCAATGAGCCCACACTTGTTCAATTTGTTGATAGCGGATATAGAGGAAGTGCTGAAAAAAGGAGGCTGGGGAGGAGTAAAGTTGGGAGGGGAAAAAGTGCACTGCTTGGCATATGCTGATGACATGGTGTTGTTGGCGGAGGAGGAGGAGGGGATGATACATATGTTGGGGAAAATGGAAAATTACATGGATAAAAAAAGGCTAGAGGTAAATGTGGATAAGACAAAAATAATGAGGTTTAGAAAGGGGGGAGGAAGAATGAGGAAAATGGAGTGGAGATGGAAAGGGAAAAAATTAGAGGAAGTGAAAGAGTTCAAGTATCTAGGATATAAGTTACAAAGGAATGGAGGACAGGAGGCGCAGGTGAGGGACAGAGTGAGGAAAGCAGGAGCGGTGATGAGACAAGTATGGGGTATGGGAAAGAGAAGATTTGCAGGAGACTGGATGAAAAGAGTATGGTTAATGGAAAGGTTGGTGGGAACGGTGATGGAGTATGGGGCGGAGATATGGGGGTGGAAGGAGAGGAGAGAAGTAGAGGCAATGCAGGAAAGATGGATTAGGTGGACGCTAGGAGTAGATTGGTGTACGCCGGGGTATATGGTAAGAGAAGAGATAGGAAAGGATAAATTCAGGATAAGAGCAGGAAGAAGAGCGATAGGGTATGAGAAAAAATTAGAGGAAGGAATGGGAGGAAGTTTAGCGAGGAAATGCTATGAGGAGATGAAGGAGAGGGTAAAGGAAGGAAAGGAGAAAACGGTGTGGGAGGAGGAGAGGGCAAAATTTTTTGAAGGAAGGGGGATAGAAGAGAGGGAGATGGAGGAAAAAAGAGAAAGGGGGGAGGAAGTATATGAGGGATGGGAGCAGAAGGACAGAGAAAGGCAAAAGGAGGAAAGATGGGAGAAGATAAGAGAGTCGAGATACAATAGATGGTATGGAGAATGGAAGGAGGAGGGTTTACCGGAATACTTGAGAAAGGGATGGGGGGAAAGCAGATGGAGAAGGATAGTGAGGCATAGAATGAACAATGAAATGAGGGGGGCGAGATACTGGGAAGAGGAGGGGAAAAGAAGATGCAGACTATGTGGGATGGAAGACGAAACTTGGGAACATGTAATAGGAGAATGTGGGGGAGAGGGGAATAAGGGAAACTGGTGGGAAAAATGAGGGAAATACTGCAAGAAGGAGGAGAGGGAGAAGGATGGATGAGGGAATTAGAGAAAAAGAGGATGGAGGGGAGGGTGGAAGGGGAAGAGGAGGAAGGAGGTATAAGGAGAATGTGTGAAAGTATGAATGAGGTGTTGGGGAATGTATGGGGAACTGGAAGCCGAGGCGAAGCGAGAAATAGGTTAGGGACAGCTCTTTCTCTCTCTTAATTAGTAAATAGGTAGATTAAGTTAGAGATAAGATAATTGTAAGATAGATGTAAGAGTAGAATGTAAGAGTAGTCTATAAGTTAAGATTGTAAGAAATTTGTAAGGTTTGGGTACGCTCCTCAAAAGCGCCTTTAATCCCTGAGGGGGCAAATAAAGTATTGAATTGAAATTGAATTGAATTATATATTTAAATTAAATAAACTAATAATATCGTTCCTACTTCTGCGTCCTTCTGTAAAAGAATATTGTTCTCGAAATGAGGTCCGGAATCTCTCTTCAATTTACTATAAAGAGAAAAAACCAAGCGTATTTATCCTCGATTCTCTGAAAGGGAAATTGTAAAGATTAGCAAATGCAATTAAAGAATAAGTGACAGGAAGATAATATATCATGCACTCTTTGACTATAGAAAATATTTATTTTACATTATTCAATTTTTCTTGAAAGGATTAATGCAAAACTAATTATCGATTTTATTACCATACGTCAGAATAATCGTACAGACTATGCGAACTCAACGCGGATGTTTGTGAATAAATCTCAATTCGAGATTTTAATTCTTATGTTTCTCTCTGATCCCCCTACAAAGATGTAGAAAAGCAAAATATATCGGTCCAGAAGTTGCTGAATCGGGAACTTAGGAATTAAAATAGATTCTAAAATTCAGAACCAAGTTGAGATTTATTCTTAAATAGTCTTATTGTTAGCACTATGCTAAGCAAATTTCGTGCCTCGTGCACAATTATAAGACATAGGGGAAAAATTAATTTTTATTATCTAAAACACAAACCTTCGCGTTCGGCTCGCATACCCGTGTTTATTTCGAGACTAACTTTATTATTCATTAAGTATATTTGTTCATTTATTTTTCAAAAGTTTATATTAATCACTAAAGAAAAACTAAATAGTAATATTTATATTTATCGGTTTTTCACTTACTTCTTTGGTAGCATTTGGAGAGGTGCAGAGATATTATGAAGTTGAAATAAATATCATTAATTTAAAAGAATTATTTATCTTATTAAAATTGTCGCAAATCTTGCGTTTCAGAATGACCTTAAATGTGTTTTATATCCAAGTGTGGAGTATATTTGCTGTTCTAAGTATGTGTGTTTCAATTATGTTTTTTTATATTTTCAGATACATAAAATATTTTGGTGTAAGTCTTTCTACAATTATCTGATTTTAATATATTTTCTGATATAGAATAAAAAGGCCCCACACTTGAAACATTATGTATAAATTTCTTTATGCTTTATTCTTATATGATATATCACAGATGTATCGATAGATAATAGGATGAAATTTTTATCACAGATATCGCATGCTCCACATTGTTTGTTATACCTTCTAAAATAATGCCACATCCATCGAAGAGATTCTCTGCATAAATGATACGATGAAAACATTCTTCGTTAATAGTTATGTTAAACTTTGTTATGATTTTTATTCCATTAAACTTATGTTCTTCCTTAGATTGTGGACGATTGTCGAACGAAATTAGTTAAAATATTTCACATCATGATAAATGCGCCACATAATAAAATCAAAGAATGAATTTATAAATTTAAAAAATGCAGCACAGACATTTAAATTAATGTTCAGATTTTTAATTTCAATTTAATTAAATTTATTTAAACTTAATCCAATTTATAAATACGAATCTTTGTACGAATTATTAGTATCGTTACGACATTATTTATACTATGAAATATATTTCAATCTTTCTTTCCCTCTCCCTTTCTGTTTATTTTTCATGTTTTTTAATAAATAATGTGTAAATTTTAAGAATTTCAACAATTTTATGTAATTTACTCGCGCGTATATACGGGGTGTAAACTATTATATAATGTGATGTAGAGGATTATATATTGTTTAAATCGCTCGATCACTGAAGAAACATATTTGTAAAATTAATAAATTTATTTTTGAAAAATAAAATACAAGATGAGTGTCCTAACAGAAGTTTCAAAGAAACGGAAATTAAAGTGTTACATTTTAATGACATTAAATGTGTTCTGTGCTCAAATGCGGAGTACATTTGTTGTCTCATGACTAAGTTTTAACTTATACATATGCAACACTATCGATTATACAAGTTTCAAAATAATAGATATTAATAAATGGTAAATTTTAATTATGTCATATTTTGCATATACTTAAAGTATTAAGAAGAAGTTCATAAGTTAATTAATTATTATAAATTTTTAAATATATAAATTCTACTGCACTAATTTAAATTCTTGCAATCACAACTTTTCTTATTTTATTGTTCATATTAATAAATACAATAAATATAGCAGAGAATAATAAATATATTTCATTTGTCGTTGATTCTCAATTGATATTGCATACAAAAATAGGGCATAGTATTTATCTACAAAAGTCGAAAATATATATGTATATACATGTATATGTCAATATAACATCTGTCTATTATGTTGGTTCATGCAACTACGGCATATTTTATGTTTTTATTTATTTGCGCTATTATTTAATACGAAATATAAGACACAAACTGTAAAATTTTTACTTTAATTGATTTCTTTATGAATAAATGCCTCAATAAACACTTAACCACGTTAAATTATAAAAATTGTAAATTATACATATTGTTATATAAAAGAATCTCACAATGTTCAATATGTTTACAAATGTATATATTATGTACTAATATGCGATTGTTAGTGCGCGTATGTACTTTACTCATATTGTACTCATATTTCTTAAAACATGATGACAAAAATAGACACAGATGCAGGCTCATATGCTACTCAAAACACGGACATATTATGATATCTTGAAACTGTTTGCAAAAAATGTCATTATGAGTAAACATGAATATGCTCAAATTAAAATAATTACTCACATTTTGCATCATATGTATATAACTTGCGCTCATAATACCTATCATCATAATATGATTACAATACATTTTAATCATATTGAAGGTTTTTAGATAATGCATTTAATTTTGATTAATTGCAAAGCATTTATTATATGTTGCCTTATAAATTGTCTAACTATATATGTTATAGACTCCAACATCTGAAAAAATTAATTAAACATGAATATAAAGACGACATGTAAACAAAAATCTAATTATAAATTAAAAAATGAGAGATTGCACATTTCTCTACTTCCTATACATATTTAGTCTAATATATTGATTCTTTGTCAATTTACAAGTATATTATTAACTTAAAATTAATAGATGTAATAAATAAGTTTCAACCTTTTTAGTTTCTATTTTGATGACGTCATTATTTGTTTCACAAGACTTGTAATCTGGTAGAAAATCAAGAAGACAATTCGGGAAATACCCGGGTTTTAAGTAAAAACATCTTGCATTTTCTAAATTATTCGTGACGCTGTAAACAATTAAAATATTACCTTAATCATATGAAAATTTAAAAAAAATTATATATGTATGCGTATAATAAAAAAATAAAGATTATCGTGAAATAATGATAATGTCGATTCTAACATATATTTAAACTTACAATTCTGGTTTCCAAAATATAAAGAATTCATTTTCAATATCTAGTACATCGCAACGTAGACCAAGTCTTCTTGCCACGCTATGAAATATTGTATATACAATGATATCTTTACCAGATTTACTTTGTAAAACCTGTGCCAGGTATAATACAGAATAAATTAATCAAAGCGAGACAATATTAAAAACAACACATAACGTATACATATATGGCCCATAATTATATATATTATAATCTTTAATAACTTACATAATCTATACAAATGCATTTGATATCTTTGGGAAATGGGCACGCTCGAAAGTTCAAAATGCTAAATATATATTCCTGGATTGTATCCATAATCTGCGTACTTTCTGTTTCATCCCAATGATTATCTTCGATATTGTTGGTGTTCCAATAAGAAAAAGTTTCATCACACATGGAGAATATCGAATGGTTCGGATGCTTTTTTCTGAGACGATTCCGTACTTCTTGTGCGATTGTATCCAATGATGCACTTACATTTGTGTAACATACATCTTCTCGAACTTGAATATATTTTGATATGAAAGTACACGTTTCTTCTAAAAGTTGTTCTTTTTCTAGTTTCTCTCTATATCTGTCCAACTCATTTCGTATCGAGGATAGCTTTTCATAGTGAGACATTTCTATATTGCAATATCTTTCGATTGATTTGCGATCAATTCCTCTAAAAAATTTATATATATTGAATTATTAACTAATGAATAAATACATTAAATTGTAATAATAGTAGCATTATAATATATATGACGATCCTACTGTTGAAATGGTGTTAACAAGCATTTAATCTCCTCAATATAAAACATATATTGCAGCTCATTTATAAGCTTATTTCTAGGCTCAAGAAAAAGTATATTTCTATGCTTTACATGTACATTGATTTTTCTCGAGAATTTTATTACATTATCGAATTTAATTATATTATTGATTGAGCCATTGAAATAATTTCGATTTGATCTATTATTGTAAAAATGATCATAAAAGAGAATTTGAGACAAATAACTTCGCAATTGTCTCGCAGAATTTATGCCTATTATAACAAAGTTTAGGTTTTCTTCTTTTTCTTTTTCCGTAAGACTTTCATATCTTCTCTTTGCATAGGGCCATCTAAAATACGACCATAAAATATTGTAATAAATTTTTGATAATGATACTTAGTGTTGTGTCAAGATTAATTTAAAATTAGCTGGATAAAGATGAGATAAAAGTATGTAAATTAATCTTAGATAGGATAAAGATGATTTTGTTTTAAGTGTATCTAGATAAAAGATATAATTATATGACGATTTATTTAAATAATTGTTTAGATAATAATATTTAAGACTGCTTATGTAAACACAGTTATACAAGAAATTTAAATTATTAAAAAGAAACAACAATATATGTATACATATTTTTATTTATAAATTTTTATCGCTTTACTGTCTGATTTAAGTATTTTTATGTGTGCTATGATTTTAAACCAAAATTATCTGAATATTATTTTAGATAAATAATATAGTGAAGGTAGTATTTTTTTTTATTTATTTGTAAGATGCAGATATAAAGATAAAACATATTTTTATTATCTAAATGCAGATAAGATGACGCTACAGTTCTTGCATTTAATTTTATTTAGATAACACACAGCACACTTTGATGATAGTAAAAAATGTGATTGCACAAGTCATTTTTCAAATTAATAAATTTATTAAAGTGTACAATTCAAAGCATGAGTATATATATGTCACTTCTTTTTATACTTTAATCAGAAAAAGAAAATATATAATAGTCAATTTTAATTTGTAATTTAATTTATATTCTCTCTTCTTTTTTTTCAAATTTTGATTCCAATATGTATATTGCATAATTCTATAAGTGTATTCTATATGCAATTAATAAACATTGATGTGCGTATGTATGTATAGATTAAGTTTTTTTTAAATATTTTGTAGAACAATTTTTTCGAAAGCATATTTACAAACAATGACGATTGTGCTTATATATGTGACTTGGCATGTTTTTACTTTTATAAAGATTTAATTGTGATTTCAATGCTATTTATGAAAAAGAACCGATAGAAAAATATCAAATCTGTTTGTTTCTATCACGAATATATATCATATATATTTTTATATTTAAAAATGCAATTAAATATATTGAAGAATACACATTATAATAAATAAACCAAGTTACTATTATGTTGTATTTTTAATAATTAAATTTAAAAACAATTATTGAATGCCTGAATATTTGTCGACCGATATATTCATAGGCTAATTATTGTAATATTTATTTAATTAATTACGCAACGTTTCATATAATTCTTGTCTTTCTTAAGTGTTACTGTTAAGTGTGCGAAGGACCAAAATTATATGGTCGAAACACCGTGGTTGAAACGTGTGATTAATTAAATAAACATCAATTGACGAATGTCGGTTGAAAAATATTTGGTCTTTTAATTTTGGACAGCCGAAAATTAAGAATTATTATCAGTATATTATTTAATATTTACATTTCAAATAAACATATATATATATAATTATAACGGTAGAGTTTGCCAAATTTATTGAGCAATAGAAAAAATCATTTAGTAAAATAAAAGACGATAATAAAATAAAATATTTAAATTTAAGTGATTCAATGGAAGTGAAGTGATTTAATCTAATTTTTCTAATATTTTTTTAACTATTTATGTTATATATAATTATATATTAAAGTACATATTATATTATATTTTTATGAATAATAATGTAATGAAATTCACAAGACAATGTGCTAATGTAAACTAAATGATTCACAAAAATAGGATTATTTTGAACTACTATTAACAATAAATAAATTATTTTATTAATTGAATCAGTATAAAAAATAAATTGAATAATTGAAGAAATGATGTTAAAGATTACGTAGCTAACACGCTATTTTGTCCGTTTTGTATTTATTTAATCTATTCTTTTTTATCAGTTTTTATATACATTATTAATGTTTTTGTTGTCTTACAATATATTTTTAATATTTTTAATATTCACAAAATACGTTCTTTGTTGAAGGGATATACATTATGCGACAGAAATTATTAAGACAAAATAACAAAAAGATTTACAAACCACAAGAATTACCTTTGAGATAACTTTTTTTCCAAAAACTTGTTATATGTGGTTGCTGCATAACGAAATTTCGTGCACACGCATCGAAAGTTGATGATATCCTCAATAGTGATAACATTATAGCCGAGAATGATGTCTATGATCTCTTCTGGTAAGCACGTTATCTTACAATCAGACATTATGAGAAACAAAACACAAAAAAGGAATGTAAATTAAAGTGATTGCAATAAACTATTCGCGTAATTAATTCCTTGCTTTTCGCAGTACACGAAATGAGTTTGCCGATTACAAAGAGCACAGATGTGTGTTTGATGTATACGAGAGACGTTTTCCACGATACAGACGGTCTGTTCTTTATTATGAAATGTGACCCCAAATTTTAAAGCCTTTTTGCTTGTTTTCACTAAGATATAGGTATAAGAACTTGCCACAGCATGCGTAGAAAATGTAATTTAGAACTATTGTAGAAAATTTACCATTTTTTCTTATGCCCTTGAAAGATAAAACGTGGTAAATAATTCATTTATTATTTATTTTATTATTATTATTTATTTATTTATTGTTCTCTATTTAAGATTAATTTAAATAATATATTTTTACAAATTTATTAGAGAGAGTTATATTAAATTTTACTAATTTTCATGTATTTATATTATGTATTATTTAAGCTTAATTAAAATAATATTATTTCAAATTATCATGAATTTTATTAAATTCTACCAATAATATTTATGTATTTATATTTTACAATTATAAACCTTAGTGCTGTGCATTGTCAAATTATCTCGATAAGAGAGAAGGGGCAAGAGAGATTTACATTTTTCATTTATTAAATCTTTACATATAAAATTCTCAGCTAAAATAAAATTCTCGACTTACAGTACAAATATTTAATAATTGATGTATGCACATAGTTTATATAAGAATATTCTACAATTTTATTTAGTTTTATTCGCGCGTATATACGGGGTGTATATATTCTAGAATTTTAAACTATAAGAATATAAAAACTCCATGGATTAAATGCAAATTCAAAGTGAACAGACTATGCGAACTTAACGCGGATGTTTGTGAATAAATCTCAATTCGGAATTTTAATTCTTATGTTTCCCTCTGATCCCCCTACAAAGATGTAGAAAAGCAAAATATATCGGTCCAAAAGTCGCTGAATCGGGAACTTAGGAATTAAAATAGAGATTCTAAAATTGAGAACCAAGTTGAGATTTATTTTTAAGTAATATTATTGTTAGCACTATGCTAAGCAAATTTCGTGCCTCGTGCACAATTATAAGACATAGGGGAAACATTAATTTTTCTTATCTAACGCACAAACCTTCGCGTTCGGCTCGCATATCCTTGTTTATTTCGAGACTAACTTTATTATTCATTAAGTATATTTGTTCATTTATTTTTCAAAAGTTTATATTAATATCTAAAAAAAACCTAAATAGTAATATTCATTATTTATTAGTTTTTTACTTACTCCTTTGGTAGCATTTGGGGAGGTGCAGAGATATTATAAAGTTGAAATGAATATCATTAATTTAAAAGAATTAATTATCTTGTTAAATTTGTCGCAAATCTTGCGTTTCAGAATGACCTTAAATGTGTTTTATATCCAAGTGTGGAGTATATTTGCTGTTCTAAGTATGTGTGTTTCAATTATGTTTTTTTATATTTTCAGATACATAAAATATTTTGGTGTAAGTCTTTGTATTGTAAATTATCTGAATTTAACATATTTCCTGATATAGAATAAGAAGCCCGCACACTTGAAACATTATGTATAAATTTCTTTATGCTTTATTTTTATTTGATATATCGCAGATGTATGGATAGATAATAGGATGAAATTTTTATCACAGATATCGCATGCTCCACGTTGTTTATTATACCTTTTAAAATAATGCCACATCCATCGAAGAGATTTTCTGCATAAATGATACGATGAAAACATTCTTTGTTTATAGTTATATTAAACTTTGTTATGATTTTTATTCCATTAAATTTATGTTCTTCTTTTGATTGTCTAACGAAATTAGTTAAAATATTTCAATTCACATCATGATAAATGCGCCGCATGATAAAATTAAAGAATGAATTTATAAATTTTAAAAATACAGCGCAGACATTGAATATAATGTTTAGATTATAAATTTTAATTTAATCAATTTTGTTTATATTTATTTCAATTTATAAATACGAATATTTATATCGTTACGACATTATTTATACTATGATATATATTTCAATCTTTCTTCCTCTTTCCTTCTCTGTTCTTTCTTTTTAATAAATAATATACAAATTTTAAGAATTTCGACAATTTTATGTAGTTTACTCGCGCGTATATACGGGGTGTAAACTATTATATAACGTGATGTAGAATATTATATTTTGTTTAAATCGCTCGATCACTCAAGAAACATATTTGTAAAGTTAATAAATTTATTTTTGAAAAATAAAATACAAGATGAATGTCTTAACAGAAGTTTCAAAGAAACGGTAATTAAAGTGTTACATTTTAATGACATTAAATGTGTTCTGTGCTTAAATGCGGAGTACATTTGCTGTCTTATCATTAACCATGTATTTTTTAATTATGTGTTTTTTATATTTTCAGATATATAAAAAATTTTTTTTTGATAAATCTTTGTACAAGTACCACATTTTAATATATTTTAATTTATATTTAACGTTGTTTGTTATATTTCTTAAAATAATGCCTCATCCATTGAAGAGATCTTCTACATAAAAGGAAGATATAACTTGTTGGAATTAGTCAAATTTTAAAGTCTTGCTTGATTCTTCCACAAATTTTTAAAATCTGCAATTATCATCAAAATATCATACAAAATCTAATATCATTAATACGTTTGAAAATATAAAAATCATTGTCTTTTATTAACATACGTGTTTTTACTTATACAAATGCAACACTATTGATTATACAAGTTTCAAAATAATAGATATTAACAAATGGGAAATCTTAATTATGTCATATTTTGTATATACTTAAAGTAATAAAAAAAAGTAAACGAACAAATTAATTTTTTTATTTTAAGATTTATTAATTCTACTGCACTAATTCAAATTCTTGCAATCACAACTTTTCTTATTTTATTGTTCATATTAATAAATACAATAAATATAGCAGAGAATAATAAATATATTTCATTCGTCGTTGATTCTCAATTGACATTGCATACAAAAATAGGGCATAGTATTTATCTACAAAATTATCGAAAATATATATGTATATACATGTATATGTCAATATAACATCTGTCTATTATGTTGGTCCATGCAACTATGGCATATTTTACGTTTTTATTTATTTGTGCTATTATTTAAAACAAAATCTAAGACACAAACTGTAAAATTTGTACTTTAATTGATTTTGTTGTGAATAAATGTCTCAATAAACACTTAACCACGTTAAATTATAAAAAATTGTAAATTATACATATTGTTATCTAAAAGAATTGTTATTTAAAAGAATCTCACAATGTTCAACATTTTTACAATTGTATATATTATATACTAATATGCGATTGTTAGTGCGCGTATGTACTTTATTCATATTGTACTCATATTTCTTAAAACATGATGACAATGATAGACACAGATGCAGGCTCATATGCTACTCAAAACACAGACATATTATGATATCTTGAAACTGTTTGCAAAAAATGTCTTTATGAGTATACATGAATATGCTCAAATTAATATAATTACTCACATTTTGCATCATATGTATATAACTTGTGCTCATGATACCTATCATCATAATATGATTACAATACATTTTAATCATATCGGAAGTTGTTGGATAATGCAATTAATCCGGATTAATCGCATTTTCTTAATTTTATGTTGTATTATAAATTCTCTAACGATATCTCTTGTTAACTTCAACATCTAAAAAAATGAATTAAACATGAATATAAAGACGACATGTAAACAAAAATCTAATTATAAATTAAAAATGAGAGATTGCACATTTGTCTTCTTTCTATACATATTTAGTGTAATATATTGATTCTTTGTAAATTTAGAAATATATTAATAACTTAAAATTATTAGTAGTAATAAATAAGTAATTTTTAACCTTTGTAATTGTTATTGCGACTGGTCTTACAGACATGTATTCTGATAGATTATCAATAACACGATACTCGGGGAAATACTTTTGTGTGTAAAAACATCGTGCATTTTCAAAATTATTCGTGACGCTGTAAACAATTAAATTATTACTTTAATCATTATAAAAATTTATATAATAAAAAATTATATTGGAAGCGTATAATAAAAAAGAAAGATTATCGAGAAATAATGATAATGTCGATTTTAATATATATATGTACTTACAATTCTGGTTTCCAAAATATAGATAATCGAGTAAAAAAATTTATTGCATCGCAACGTAGACCAATTCTTCTAGTCACGCTATGAAATATTGTATATACAATGATATCTTCACCAGATTTACTTTGTAAAACCTGTGCCAGGTATAATACAGAACAAATTAATCAAAGCGAGAGAATATTAAAAACAACATATAACGTATACATATATGGCCCATAATTATATATATTATAATCTATAATAACTTACATAATCTATACACAAACATTTGATAACTTCGGGTACGGAGCTACATACTCGAAAGTTTAAAGTGCCAAATATATATTCCTGGAGTGTATCCATAATAAGCGTACTTTCTGTTTCATCCCATCGATTATCTTTGATATTGTTGGTTTTCCAATAGGAAAAAGTTTTTTCAGACGTGGAGAATATCGAATGGTTCGGATGCTTCTCTCTGAGACGATTTCGTACTTCTTGTGCGAATGTATCCAATGATGCACTTACATTCGTGTAACATACATCTTTTCGAGGTTGAATTTGTTGTGCTATGAAAGTACATGTTTCTTCCAAAAGCTGTTCTCTTTCAGGTTTCTTTATATATCTGCCCAACTCATTTCATATCGAAGATAGCTTCTCATAGTGAGACATTTCTATATTGCAAAATTTTTGGATTGAATTGCGATCAATTTTCCTAAAAAATTTATATATATTGAATTATTAAATAATGAACAAATACATTAAATTGTAATAATAGTAGCATTATAATATATATGAAGATCCTACTGTGGAAATTGTGTTAACCAGCATTTAATCTCCTCAATATAAAACGTATATTTCAGCACATCTATAGGCTCATGTGTAGGCTCACTTTCAGGATCAAGTTGATTTAAACGATTTACATATTTATCGATATTACCACTGAATTCCTTTACATTATTATTGAATTCCAATACTTTATGAATTGAGTCATCGAAGTAATTTTGATTTGATCTATTATTGTAATAATAATCATAAAATAGAATTTGAGACAAATAATTTCGCAATTGTATTGCAGAATTAATGCCTATTATAACAAAGTTTAGGTTTTTTTTTCTTTTCTTTCTCCGTAAGACTTTCATATCTTTTCTTCGCATAGGGCCATCTAAAATACGACCATAAAATATTGTAATAAATTTTTGATAATGATACTTAGTGTTGTGTCAAGATTAATTTAAAATTAGCTGGATAAAGATGAAATAAAAGTATGTAAATTTATCTTCGAAAAAAATAAAGATGATTTTGCTTTAAGTATATCTAGATAAAAGATATAATTATATGACGATTTATTTAGATAATTGTTTAGATAATAATGTTTAAGACTGCTTCTGTACGCACAGTTATATAAGAAATATAAAGATACAAAAATATATATATTCATATTTTCATTTATAAATTTTTATCGCTTTACTGTCTGCTTTAAGTATTTCAATGTGTTATGATTCGAAACCAAAATTATCTGAAAATTATTCTAGATAAATAATATAGTAAAGGTAGTACTTTTTTTTATCTACTTGTAAGATGCAGGTATAGAGATTTTACTAATTTTCATATATTTATATTTTACACTTTATGATTCTAGTGCTGTGCATTGTGTCGACTTTTTATTTTAATTTGAAGTCGTAATAATTTTGCGTAAATCATGCATAAGAGAGAAATATAGATCGCAAATAATATGAGTTTGGAACAAAAATGAAAAAGTATTTTTACTTAACGCGTAACGTTCATTTTTGTTTAACGCACAAAACTTAACAAACTTTGGCACAGGTAATTTAGATGCCCATATGTATTACCAAACATTTCAATGTCTAAATTATGTCTTAGCGATATAATTCGTATAAATATTCGTATTGTAAATCGAGGTAAAAACCTGAAATAAAAATTTTAGCTGAGAATTTTATTTGTGAATATTTGAAAAATGTAAATCTCTCTCTTTTTCTTCCTCGTGTATCGAAAATATTTTATAAAATTCTATATAAATTAATAATTATTATATACAATATATATTATATACAATATATAAATTGTATATAGTAAAAATGGTACATGATAAATCTAATGATTATATTAAAATAATGTAACACTTTAGTTTCAGTGTCTATCAAACTTCTATTAGAACACTCGAACCTTCTATTTTATTTTTCCAAAATAAATTTATTATTTTTTAATTAATAATTAATTAATTAAAAATATAAAAAAAACACATAATTGAGAAACACATGCTTAGTGAAGGAACAGCAAATATACTTCACACTTGGGCACAGAATACATTTAATGTCATTCACTAATAATTCGTATAAATATTCGTATTTATAAATTGACATTTAGGCGCGCGCTCCGTAAGTGCTACGTATTGTGTGCGGTGACCTTGGCCGTCTCGCCGCGGCGCCGACAGCGCACGACCTTCGCAGTTCGCGTCGAGCTACCCCCGCGATCGGACGCTCTTGCGCGCGTTCTCTCGCATCTGTCATCGTGTATTTCGTCGCGAGTCGAGTGATAGACGCGTGCGGAAGTACGGGACACGCTTGACGATTGATATGTCGATCGAATCGCGATCGGAACGATGTGAAAATACGTCGCGGGTTTCGTTAATAAAGTTGGAAGAAAACTTTTTCAAACGCGACGTATGCGCCGCGCATCGTAGTCAGTGTTCTCAACAGTGCAACCGGAAAGTGCGCGAGTAGCTGTCAGTGGTGCCACATGTCAAACGTGAAAATCGCGCAGTCGCGAAAAGAAGCGAGAAAGTCGTTCGTCGTTGAGTGAAGCTTTTTTCAAGCTACGCAAACGCGTAATGCATCGCGAGTGTATATGTGTATTGTGCGTCGGAATAAATGATTGTCTACAAGGATACATCGACAATCGTCGCGGCGGAGCCCGGAATAATTTCAGAAATTGGACGCTTCCTCGCAGGTAGGAATAAGTGAAGTTTGCCGCGAATTTTTGCCGTCGACTTAAGCGACACCTTATCACTGCTAAAACGCAGTCGCGATAATGACGTGCCGAGTGAAAACGAGAAAGAATATCACATATATTTATGATTTCGCGAAGGACTGAGAAGCGGCGCGTACGTATTAATAAAACTAATTAAAACTATTGAAAATAAATATTGTTTGCGAGCGAGTATAAAATCGGAAATATATATCAGAAAAGAAGTCATTAAATTTGTAGGCAGACTCGTTTCCAAATACTCTATAATCGCTGCAAAACATGTTGACAATCTCACCGTTGATTTGCGCGAACCCGAGAATCGTGTGTTTAGTGTATTTTTGTAAATTCTTCGCCGAGAATGAAGGTTTTTTTCCCCGAGTCGTAAAATTTTGAAACGATACGTGTGTATCGCGTCGCGAGTGTGCTTGATTTGTGCGAATAATGTGAAGAGAGAATCGGCGATAAGCAGGTGGTCTTCGTGGCCGAGCTCGGGCTGCTTCTGAGAATTGAGCGAGTCGAGGGTAAGCTTGAATTTCTTGGAATCACAATTATTATGTCTTTGTTGCTGTTAGTCTTCGACTTTTCACGTTTTCCGATCAAGATAAATTTTCTGCGGCATTTCTCGTAAAATATTTTATAAACCAAATAAATTATAGTGGCGTACGTCAATTTAGATATTTCGAAATGCTTTTTTGTGGATACTTTTGTGGATTTTTAGAATTTAACATTTTCTTTATTCAAATATAATTAATATTTAATATGACTTCGACAGAGAATCATCGTAAGAAAGAGATTAAATGTTTCATATACAAAGAAAATAATTTTATATACTTATATTCCTTTTTTCAATTTACTTAAAAGTGTATCATGAAAGGATTTTTTAAATAATTAATTAGGTAATATTGCTATCGACAAATGCCGTAAATATTATTGCCCTGCTAAATATTAAATATACAATTATATTCAAAATGGCTATTCTGTTTTTATTACTAGTTTGTAATTTTGTTTTTATTGAGCACAAATACTTAATTTGATATTTATTTGTTTAATTTTGATTATATTAATTTAATTAAACTTGTTCAAACTTAATTTAATATTTAGTTGTTTAATTTTTTATTTAAAATAAATGTAATATTTAATTAATTTTTAAGAAAAATTTTATAGTTAAATATTAAATTTCACAAGTTTAATTAAATTAACTCAGTTAAAATTACAAAACTAATATTAAATATTTATTTGTTGTATTAATATTTTAAAAATTACTTTTATTCTTCGATTTTATTACGCATTTATCGCAATATAAAATAGAAGTATTTCTCTAATTAATTTTATTAGATAATCAATAAAGGAAGAGTAGAATAGAATGAAATAAAAATATTAACAAAGGGGTTTGATGGAAATATTAATTAAAGCTGTTTTTACCGCATCATTATATACGGCACGTTTATTATTATTACAAAGTCTACATATTCTTTTCATCTATAGTTTAGAATGTTTGTAAAACGTGTGAAAAAGAGTGAACCGATTGAAAGGTGACTTAAAGTGGCTACACGTGACTATCTTTTGTTCCTTTGAAAAAATTAATTTCTCTGTGGTCCTACATCATTGTTACTTATAATTGTGCGTCTTCAGAAATTCCAAGTTACTATACCTTCCATAATTATATGGTCGGTACATCCTAGCACTAAGCGATCAATTAAATAAAATTACTATATATACATCGATTTCGATACTCGTGCGATTCATTACACATTTCTCTCGCAACGAGTATTCGATGTATATATACATATGCATATATATATATATATATATCTTTTGATAAAATTTCGTACGATTACGCATTTGTCTGCTATTTGTATAAATTGTCTATGTGTGGTAAGTACAAAATACACTTTGACCTTTTTTACGTATCGTGTGTAGTCGATCTGTACAACTGTTCGACTGGATTGAATATCTGACGAACAGATATTCGCATTTAATCTTTGGCAGCTCTAATTTGTCTATTCTTTCGATATAGATAATATCAATATAAATAATGAGATCAAGAAAGAGAACACGTGCGCATAATTATCTTAATAATAATAAATATAAATATATAAGCGAAGATAAATATATTTATATCGCATCAATTTAAGTTGATCGTAAAATAGTCGAATAAAGATAAATTTAATAATTTAAAAATTTAGAAAGGGTAATTTCGAATGTAAATCCCCGGTAAAAAATTCTTTATATATAACAGTATAAAATTATATAGAAATATTTAAAATTATACACATAATCGCAAAATTATATATGAAATATGTCCATACATAATTAGATAAAAGTGCTTCTTATATGTATTTATATAAATTTATATATATATATTTCTTCATATATATATATATATATATTTAAATATATATGTTTCATATATAATTTATAAATTTATATAATTATGTATAAAATTGAACATATTTCATAAATATAATTTTACGATTATATGTATAATTATACAATTATTTATATATAATTATATATAAAAAATTTTTACCGGGTCTCCGTACTGACATATAATCTCGAAAAGCTTTATAAAATCTTTAGTATTTTTTTATTACGTTTCGCGCAACATATATATCGGAAAACTTGTCAGGAATTGAACGAAATATGTACAGATCTCTCGGGTGGGCTATAAACTTTGGATACTATATTCTAAATATATCCCGAGGGTATGATAAATAGTCTACGCTCTTCAAACGTCTATAATACTGTTCCGCTTCTTCTCGACGTCCACGGAATCTAAATCGTTGCCGAGGCTGCCGACTCGACCTCTCAATCCTCCACCGCCGACTTGACCAGTCGCTTTGAGCTTCTCTTGCATCTGCGCCAGAATGTCTTGCATCCTTCGTATCTGCGAATCGCGAATTGTCAGTTGATACAGTGCGATTGATATTTAGGAAAATCATTTTTGTCAAAATTAAATTGGAACAGGGTTGGTTAATTTCCAAACGGAAAGGATCGCAACGTTCAAATTAAATAGGAATTTTAAAAATAAGTTGCACTGTGAAAAAAATTTATTAACTGGACTAAACCTTTAAACCATAATATTATTTTGTTAATTGAACATATAAAAATATTTAAATAAAATATAATATATTAAATCTATAACAAAACATATATTAGTATTTAAGTCAATTATGTATTTCGTGTTAGACTTAATATATTATATTTAATTTAAATATTTGTATATGTTCAATTAACAACATAATACATGTTTAGTTGAAAGATTTATAATCAAGTTAACACATTTTTTTTCAGTGTGGCTTTTATTAATCTTGCTTACTTAAAAATGTTCTTTTTTTATTATATATTATTATTAATATATATCAGGGTTGGGTAAGTTCATGATTTTTTTAAACTAAGTTTATTTAAAGTTAGTTGCTTATAAAATTAATTTAATTAAGTTGCCCGAAGAAAAAATTAACTCATTGTCAGTTAGAGTAAAGTTAAAATTAAATTAACTGAAATTAAATCAAAAGTTAATTTTTAAAAACATTATTTATATTAAATTAAAATTTTGTTTGTTAATATTTTTAAAATTTATAATAACAAATAAAGAGAAATTTTGAATTTTTTTTTGTAATTATAATTGATGACAAATGAACAAAAATTAATGATACTTTAATTTAAAAATACATTTATAACTTACAAAAAACAATAATGATATTCAGAAATTAAAAAATTAACTTGGGAAAAAAGTTAATAAGTTTAAGGTCAGAAATAACTAGTTGAAGTTAAAAATTAATACATTTTAAATTAACTAAGCTAAGTTTAAAGTTATTAACTTTTTAACTTTTTTTAAAACCTTAAACTAATTATTACCCAATCCTGAATTGGAAATATATTATCTTTAATTGTACACAGAAAAAATTGGTTAACTTGACTAAACCTTTCAACAAAATATTATTTTGTTTATTGAAAACACATAGACATATTTAAAATAAATCTAACAAAACGTAAATTTTATTTAAATACTAATATATGTTCAATTAACAAAATAGTATTTTAGTTGAAAGGTTTAGTCAAATTAATAAATTTCTTTCTAGTGTATAAATGACAAATTTCGAAAATTATTTTCTAATTATACAGGATGTTAAAATCTTATATCGACAACGAGAAAGAAGACTTCAAAATTAACATTTTTTATTAATACTAATTTTCTCTATAATGTTTAATTTTAATAGATACTACATATGAAATACGAGTTTGTGACTTTTTAGTTTATCATCTGTAATAAAGTTATTGCATGAATTTTTGACCATTTACTGTAAAAAGAGAGAATTATTTTTATGCATTTGTTGAACATATATTAATATTTAAATCAAATATACGTTTTTTTTATTTAATGTTACATTTCATTTGAATATGTTTAATTAACAAAATTTTTAGTTGAATTTTTTAGTCAAGTCAACAGTTTTTTTATTATAAATATAAAACTCAGTATAAATAAACATGTCGTAGAAAAAAAAAGTATTAACCAAAAATTTTGAAGTCTTTTTTTTAATTTATCGGTCTAATTTTTTAATATCCTGTATAATTAATTATATAAATAATTATATATTTTAATTAAATAAACTAATAATATTGTTCCTACCTCTTCGTCCTTCTGTAAAAGAAGTCTGTCGGTATCGGATATACTGTTCTCGAAATGCGGTCCGGAATCTCTCTTCAATTTACTATAAAGAGAAAAAACAACAAGCGTATTTATCCTCGATTCTCCGAAAGGGAGACTGTAAAGATTAGCAAATGCAATTAAAGCATAAGTGACCGGAAGATAATATATCATGCACTCTTTGACTATAGAAAATATCTATTTTACATTATTCAATTTTTCTTGAAAGGATTAATGCAAAACTAATTTTCGATTTAATTACCATACGTTAGAATAATCGTAAACTATTTATCGAATAATTATAATGGTTTGAAACTATCGATGGCGGATGCTTTTTAATCATGCAAATGTACAGGACATTTCGAAAGCACACATTTCGAGCTCTTTGAAAAGAGCTAACGTATATTTATTAAATATTACAGCAAAATATTCCCAAATTTTCGTAAAAAAGCCAGATGCGCGGATTAATAATAAAAAAATAAAAATGTTTTATTGCGTCACTTTCGAAGTATCCTACGCATTGCGAACGCGCAATAAGCGTCGTCCATATGTAATATACCTACTGAAAAATGCAATATTTATTTACATGCGTAAATACCTCCGTTCCCGGATCGCTTGCTGCGAAATTTGCGAAATACATTGGGCCCGAAAATTCTCGTAGTGAACGTCCTGCGTGACGTCCTTTAGATCCTGCATATGCGTCGATATTAGCATCGTCCTTAGTTTCACGAAGTCACTGTGTTTCGGGTTCTCGACTATGATCAATCAGAATCGAGACGATTAAAGATCGAAAATGTATGTATGTACATATATATAAAATAAGATACACGAAGTACACCATCAGGTGCAGGACAACAAATTAAATCGAAAAGTCCTGAGCCATTTTTTAATCTGAGCTTTATTTTGGACGCTATAAATTGTTAAAGTTAGCCAATCAGCGCGTAGCTACAACGGAAAACAACGTAGGCTCCGCCTACTAAGGTGGAGCCTACGCTTTAACAACTTGTAGCATCAAAACTAAAGCTCAGATTAAAAATGGCTCAGGACTTTTCGATTTAATTTGTTGTCCTGCACCTAATTGTGTGCTTCGTGTACTTTTTTTAGTTACACCCTGCATTTATATATATACATATATATAGAAGGTACTTTAAATGCATTCTCAACCCCTTCAGCCCTTTCGAATACGCTAATTGAATTGCCGCTGATTGAATATATACTCTGCGAAAGGTTTAAGCCTCAGAGGCTCTTTTACCAATTATACGATTTTAATCCCTACAACTGATGCTTTCATTCCTACTTGACAATTCGATCAAGAAGCTAAATATTCCTCTCTAATAAAAGACATCGAGCGCATTATAAAAATCTCCGTGTCTGTCGAATCGACGATTCTTTTGATTTCTATTCGCTTTCAAGTCTTTCAACAAACACTGCTCATTAGCGAGGATTTCATTTTATAATGATAATTAGTGCTTGAAACTCTGAAATGATAATAGATTTTTCGAGATCGAATAAGTTTCCGTCGCAAACGTGAAACATTAAGATTTATTTTCGTGAAATATAATATCTCTGACGTTGAAAAGATTATTTTCCAAAATTATGTACTTACCTCGCAATTGAGGATAAGATTAAAAATTCTAATTTTATGTATACAGTTGAAAAATTTGTGTTAAATTTAACAAATGTCACATGTCCCAAATAACCACATAAATTTTTGTATTAATTTAGCATAATATGGATTTGTTAAATGGAGACACAAATACTGTTTTAATATTTTAACACAAAAAATGCAAAATTTGTAGTAATTTTAAAAAATTTTGTGTAAAATTAACAGTTTTAATGTAAAAATTAACTAAAAATTTGTTAATTTTAGATTTTATCATCCCTACTTATAAAATAAAAAATCAACATTTCTTAACAAATTAATTGTCACTTATAAAACAAAACTTCTTTATTGTGCAAAATTGCCAATAGATGCACATTGTGTTATTTTTATATCCTTTCTTCAGTTGTAATAATTTAACATTCAAGTTCAATTAGTACAACAGCAATATGTTAAATTGACACGTGAATGTGTTAAATATTTAACAGACAAATTTTAACGGTGTTTTTAATAAAATAAATTTTTTTACTGTGTAAAATATAAAAGTTCACCTTCCACTACGCCCCACGGATATTGTCGGCCGCGTACTTTTCTTCCGGCAACTTCCAGGACTGTCGAACTTCCGACAACCGCAAATGGTATACAGGCTTTTAGCTCTTTATCCTGTTGCTTGAATTCTTCGTCCTCGTCGCTGTCGCAATCCGGAAATTGATATATCTAGGCGTGAAAGTTCAAAATTATTATTTATACATTAAAAGTTATTTTTTATATTATACACAGAGCGAATTTTCTCTCAGAATTTATCCTGAAATGCATAGTAATCTCGTGAGAATATTTATTACAATAAAAAATACGTACCACAATAAGATATGAAATATGTTCGATTAATTTTACTAAAATATAAGGTAAAATTTCAATAATTTTAAAATATATTAAAAACTAACTTAAAATATATAAAAATCTTATGATTCTTTAAGTTTTAAATAAAACAGATGCTAAAAAAAATGATAAACACATATAAAATATTTTATATACTATAAATTTTACAATGCAAATAGCACTGAAAAAAATTTGTCAACTTGACTAACCTTTCAACTAAATATTATTTTGTTAATTGAGCATATAAAAATTTTTGAATTAAATCTAAGAAAACATATATTTGACTTAAATACTAATATATGTTCAATTATAACAAAATAGTAATTTAGTTGAACGGTTTAATCAAGTTGACAAATTTTTGTTTCAGTGTAGTAATTTTCGGCTTATTACCAAATATGATAAAATTTGTAGTGAATTTTGCGATAAAATATAACGAAAAATCCTTTCCGTGTCTGCATTTATATTGAGAATATTACAAAAATTGTGCATTTTATTTAAAATTACAATGAAATTATGAAATTACCTGAATCTCGTGTTCCTCGATATCTGCCAGGATACGTTCTTTCAGCTTTTTCACCTCGTGCGTGGTCAAAGTGTCCGCTTTTGCTATCACGGGAACAACGTTAACCTTTCGATGTAAACGCCTCAGTACCTCGAGATCAATTTGCCTGAGGCTGCACACACAACGGTTAATATAAATGAAAAATATTTATTATATAATAAATTAAATAATATAAAATATTTATTATGGAATAAATTGTATCATTAATTCGGGAGCCTTATAATTTTAATTTAATTAAATGAAAAATGATTGAACTAAAATATATTGATCACGTACCCGTGGCCGTACGGTGGTATAAAGTACAGACAACAGTGCACCCTGTTATCCTGAATATTTTTCCTATTTAATCCACTTTCGTCCGTAAAGTACTGGCGAAATTGCTCGTCGATGTAAGCCGAGCATGCTTTCCACGTGTCCTCGCAATTTACCGCATCGCCGAATCCTTGAACAATATATTGCAATTATTATCAACAGTATATTGCAGTGCATTTTATAGAATCGATCTGTATTTATCAAATTTTATTCCAGAAAATTAATATCGATTTTTCTTACTCATTTTCTTTTTTTATACAACTATGTTTTACTTATAAAATTTTCTTTCTTTACTTATAAAGTTTTATCATCTTTTTGACGTATAAAAAATACATGATGATACTTTTCATTATTTATTTACATATATAAAATTTATTAATATTTTTAACATAGAATTATAGTATATATATTAATAATAATAACTTGCATTTTATAGAATCGATCTGTATTTATAAAATTTTATTCTAGAAAATTAATATCGTTTTTTCTTACGCATTTTATTTTTTTATACAACTATGTTTTACTTATAAAATTTTATTTTTTTTACATATAAAGTTTATTCATCTTTTTGACGTATAAAAAATACATGATGATACTTTTCATTATTTATTTACATATATAAAATTTATTAATATTTTTACATAGAAGTATATATTAATAATAATAATTTGCGTAATAATTTGTTTTAATCGAGTTATAACACGAAAAATTAATTAATATTCTTTTTTATAAAGCTAATTTTATACTTACAAAATTATAATCTTTTTTATTTATAAAATTTATTAATACTTAAAAAAGGAAGAAATACACAGTACGACACTTTTCTTTATTTATGAAATTCATTAATAATTTTTACATATAGAGACACCGTACGTGTAATAATTTATCTAGTCTAGTCACGCAGAAAGAAATTAATATCTTTTTTTATAAAATTATTTTTACTCATAAATTTTATACTCTATTTATCAAATTTATTCATATTTTTTATAGATAGATACATAATATGCGTAATAATTTGTCTAATCTAATTTTGGAAAAAAGAGAAAAATACGATACGACTATATACTTTTCTCTATTCATAAAATTCATAAATATTTTTGGCATATAGAGACATAGTATATAATAATTTATCTAGGCTGGTCACCGGAGAAAGAAAGAAATATATTTTTTATAAAACTATTATAGAATATAATTTATATTCTTTTTTATTTATATATGAAATTTATTCATATTTTCGAGAGATAGAAACATGGAACGTCATAATTTGTCCTTTGATTAGACAAATTATTACGTCAATTATTATGCAAATTATTATTATATATATATATATACTATATTTCTATATTAAATATATTAATAAATTTTATATATAATGAAAAATATTATTATATATTTTTTATATATCGAAAACATGAACAAACTTTGTAAGTAAGAAAAAATAAAATTTTATAAAAATAAAACATAGCTGTATATAAAAAAATATCATTATATTATATTTTTTTGAATATTGAAAACATGAAATAAATAAAAAAAAATGAAATTTTCTAAGTAAAACATGGCTGTATATAAAAAGTCGTCACGAAAAAGGAAAAGGATACACTCAATAATTTTGTCCTCACCTGGCGTGTCGACGATCGTCAAACGAAGGCGAACGCCTCGCTCCTCTATATCCATTGTCTTTTTCTCGATAGAAGTGGTCTTAGCCACGCGTTCTGAAAACGTGTATATACGATGAATATTTATCGACTTCTCCTCTCGAGATATCGGGACGAGCGTTTTACCAACGGTGCAAGCTGATCAAATATTTTTCACGTGTCAATAACTCTCTCGTGGAGAGAGCACGCGGAAAATATTCAGATCTGCGACCATCATCCGTTCGTCAAAAATTGCACACCCTCGTCGCAAAGTCGACGATGTAATTATATTTTTTATTTTATTTTTTTTTTAATTATGAAGAGAATTATTTTACAGGGTGTTTTACAGCGGTTAGGGAAATCTGAAAAACCGGGCATTGTCAGGGAATTTTATAAATCTGGAATTGTCAGGGAAAAAGTCAGAAAATTTTACTATTTATCTGGGTTTTTTTTTCTATACATTTGTCTCAATAATTTGAAATTTTGTATTCAATAAATATAAACTTTTTCTTAATTCCCAGCACGCTAATTTTCTGTGTTAAAAATTGATTCATCTATAGCGTGTTTGTTAATTTATATTTTCATCGTCGTGTTATTTTATTTTAGTGTGTTTGATAGAGACAAAATGAAAAATTTAATATAAGTAAAAAAGATGATTATTTAAATAATTTAGTGACACGTTTGTTTCGATTATCGTACATAATGCAGATTATAATAATTGATTTAAATTTTTGTTTTAACTTTCGAACCTTTTCATCGTTGACAAAATATTTCAAGGATTTCATGATTTAAGATTTAATTGATTTATTATAGACATATATGCAAATTATATTTGGAAAAATAATACTAAAAGGAAAAAATATAAGGGAAAATATTAAAATTAATATTAAACTTAATATTAAACTTAATATTAAAATTAATATTAAACTTAATATTAAAATTAATACTAAAATTAATACTAAAATATTAAAATTAAAATTACAAAGAAAAAAATAATTTTTGGAAAATATTAATTTCTTGGAAAATCTGAAAAAATCAGGGAATTTTTTTCATCGAGTCTGCTGGACCCTGTTTTTCCTGAAAAAAAAAGGAAAAAATCGAGGATTAAATTACGCACCTGCCGCATCCGGAATTCGCCGGTCTTTGTACAGATCCCCGAGGAAGAGGCTGTTTATGAGCGTCGACTTGCCGAGGCCGGTCTCACCCAACACCATCAGGGTGAACTCGAAGCCCCTCTTCACCGATTTTCGGTGCACTTGCTCCGGCAGCGTCGCGAAGCCGATATAATCCCTGTCTTACTGAGCGAAACAAAGCGATCGTTAATATCGCGACACATCGATATATATATATATATATATATATATATATATCCCCTCCGCCAGCCCAAGTTAAATCTCTCGGGAGAGATATTAAACTTCAATATTAAGCTTAAAGAGGATCAACGGCGTCGCGAGATTCAAATATTTCGCATATATACGGCTATAAAACTCGTGCGAGCGTAAGGTATATCGAGTCACGTATGCATCGTGGTTGCATTTCGGTGCGGAGAAACATATATATGCGCCGCGTCTCACCCCTGCATAATTCACGTCACGGAGCGAGGAGAGAACCGGCTTCTCTCCCTCGTAAATCGATTCCCAGAGAAAAGGAGGAGAAACAAAATTATTTCGCTCGATAATAATTTTGGTCTCTCCTCCTGCTCTCCAGACAAAAAAGGTTTTTAGTTTTTACGTACCACCGGACATAATGGCAGCATCTAGGGACGCCTCCGTGCGACGACTTCGGGCATAACAGCAGCTAAACGCCCGCGACCAGACGCACTAAGGCTCCGAGAGGGCGGCTCGTGAATGCCCGTCCGTCCGGCCGGCCGACTCGCGCTGGCGCACTGCCGGCCGGCCGATCAATAGTCGGGCTCTCCCACACGCGCGAGTGCGAGAGTTCGTGCACTCTCTCTCCGCCGTGCCGCGCCGCGCCAGGCCAAGCCGGCCGGGCGGCTACGAAAGAGGTTATGATATAAGCCGAACCGCGTGCGGAATAAATAGCGACATTATTATCAGCGCCCGCTGTCTCGCTCTGACGGCTCTGACAGACGGAAGAACGGAAATGACGGCGCGACGGCCCCGCGATTATGTCGCACGCGTGCGGAAACGCGGATAAGACGGCCATTAGGGGCTTTAAATGCGAGAAATATATATATATATATATATATATTTTTTTTACTTGTCACATGTATGTATTTTGTGTATACGATATATATTGTATATCGGAGTAGAAAAAATTGTGTCTTGTTTAAAACGGTTCCCGTGAAAATTTTTGTGGTAAATATTTAACACATTCGTGTGTTATTTTACATATTGCTGTTCTGTTAATTGAACTTAAATGTTAAATTATTAAAATAACTAAAAACAGATGTAAAAATATATAACATCATGTGTGAAAAGCTATAATATATATAACTGGTTTTATTATGGTATTTTTTTTTGACTGTGTTAATTGCGACATTTTCGATCATATTCGCTTAAAGATTTTACCGTTTTTATGGAAGATACATGTATATACATAGTTGAACAATTTAAGTTTTCTTGTTAAAAATGGTCCCCGTTAAAATTTTTGTATTAAATATTTAACATATTCCCAAGTAGCAAATTGACGTTATTTTGACGTTGAATAACGTCAGTTTGCTACTTGAGTTAATGTGTTAATTTAACATATTACTGTTCTGTTAATTGAACTTAAATCTTAAATGATTAAAACAACTGAAAAAAAAGTAAAAATAACACAATGTTCTGCTTTATTAGTTACAAGATTTATCTGTTAAAATTTACAGGAAAAAATGTTGATTTTCTATTTTATAGTATAAGTGGGGATGATAAAATATAAAATTAACATATTTTTTGTTAATTTTTGAAAGTATGTTAATTTTACACAAAATTTATTTCAAATTATTTGAAGTTTTGCACTTATTTTGTGTTAAAATATTAACACAATATTTGTGTATCCATTTAACATATCCATATTATTTTAAATTAACACAAAAATTTCTGTGAACCGTTTGGCGATATCTGTTAAATTTAACAAATTTTTCCACTGTGTATGTATAAACAAAGGTGTTTTGAAACGTGGGCAGGATTTTTCCAGGAGAGCATGAAATTAAATTTTTCTGTTATTTAATTTTTTTGTTTGTTTTTTTTATTACTAGGTTTTTAAAAATAAAAAACATCGCTTTATTTTTGTTTTTTTTAAATACTTAATGACAAACATTTAAAAAAAATTTGACGTATATCTTATAGAGTATACGTATATTTTATAGAGGGTGTCTCGAAACAGGGCGGCTGCAAGATTTTTTCCAGGAGAGAGCATAATTCAATTTTTAAAAATTGATTTTTGTGTCTTTTTGTTATTTTTATTTTTTTATATTAAATATATAAATAAATTTCAGTGTTTCTTCAAAAGGAGAGCAAAAGCTTAATTTTTTACTCCAAGGGAAGGCAAATGCCCCCTCTGCGGACGTCTATCTCTCGAAATTATCGAACACCTCAATATAGGAAGATTCCTAAGGTTATTTGAAGACGATTTTTTCTTAACAAAAATGTCGAGGAAGCTGATCATTTTTTACATGTTCGAAATTTTTGTCATCATATATCTTTGTAACAAAGTTTTAAATTAAAATTCTATTGAAGTAGACTCTACCTGAAATTAAAGACACTAAAGAATGTGATTTTATTAATAATTTATTTCCACAAGGCTCAGTTTGCGAAGAATCCTTCATTTTATTATAATTCGAAAATCACTAGGTGCCTCGACATTTTTGCTGAGAAAAAATCGTGTACGGCAATTTTGAAGCACCTTGTATACATATATGTATATATACGTATTTTATTTCTATATTATTTTTTAGATGCAAACTATTTGTTTGCATACAAGATTAAAATTCTGTCGTGCAAACTATAAATCATCTAAAATATATGTTCGAGTTTTAGTTTGGTTTTTATATTTTAAAATTATATTTTTCTCACACGCGGACAATTAAAATATTTATTATATTATACATATTAAGGTATTATATATTTTAGTTTAATATCTGTAATTCTTGACCTAATTGAAGATTAAAGTACGTAATTTTTTAAATATTATCAAAATATTAAAATATTAGCATTCACTATCTTTTCTGGTTTTTGGAGAAAAGATGGCAACAATATTATAAGACCATACATATATTTCATGTTAAAGTAATTAAAAAAAAAACTTATAATTTTACATGTTTAGCTATACATTAAACATTAATATCCTTTTTTAATATAAACACTTTTGAATTTTTAACTAAAAATAATTTTCGAAACTACCTTTAAAACGCGGAACGGACGTAAAATTTTATATACACAAACAAAATATATAATTTAATGAATATTTTTAATTAAATGGTCCATTTTATCCAAATTGTGAAAAAGAGATGAGTTATAAAAAAAATATGGATAAACAGAAATAAAAATTATGAGTTACATTACAATTTATACATCTTTATTATCTGTATTCGTCTGTTCATTATATTTTTTAGCCATCATATCCAATTTTTTTTTACCATAACGCGGTGTAAATCGTGGAAAAATTATTATTATTATTATTTCGGGGGGAGGGAGAATATATATAGCGATATCGAAATAGATTGAGCTCTTTGATGAAGTATTCACGAAATCGTTCTATTACTCTTGGCCGATATATTTCTCTTTGATGATTTTTTAACGATTTTATTACGACGCTTTTATGAAGAATATACGTAAATACGTTTAAAAAAAGCTAAAAATGTATTTATTATATTTATTTATATCGATCTAAATAAATGTAATCATTCCCGCGTTAACGTTGCAATTTGAGCGTTTCTACGAAAACGCGATGAATTTTCGGATTCACCGGATTTGTGTCAACAATCGCCCGTAATTATTCGTAATGACCTGCAAAAGCGCTTGACGACGCGAAATTTATTACGCGTTCGCGCGCTTTGTTCTGACTTTAATCTCAATTAATTAATAATTATCAATTATTTACCCAGTACTTTGTAGCGATAATAAATTATTCGAGTATTTAAATTGTGTGGCCGAGGTTTCTTGATGCGACGACGTTCAACGTACAGGGTGTCCCCGTACACCCCAATTTTTCTTTAAGAATATTATGTGTTTTCATAACATCTATTGATTAGTTTTATTATTCTGTACGTAAAAGTAATAAAGTAAGATTGCCGAAAACTGAATGTTTCACAAGATATATATTTTGCATTTTTATCAAAATTTTGCAACTTTGGAGCTTTATAACTCGAAAAGTACTTCACGAAAAAACATTTAATTATAGTGTTTTGGAAAGCTCTCGAGATAAGCTACAAGAATATCAAATAAAAAATGGGGGTTAATGATTGAAAAATTGACGGTGACCTTCACGTGACCTTCAAATGACCATTCAAGGTCAAATCATTGCCACCATCTTATAGCCCTCTTCAAGCCATTTTTCAACCCCTTGAACCATTTTTCTCTAAAACGCTCTGTTTTCGAGATAAAAAGGGTGTACGGGTGGTTGGGGACACCTTGTATATATAAAGAAGAAGGATTTAATGAAAAATACATTTATTGCAAAGTAAGAAAAAATGAAAAAAGTACACAAAACTCGTTCGTTTTTTAAGCATTCGCGTTGAATATCCCAGACTCCTCCGGCTTTCATCGGTTGTTTTGATTTTTTATGTACGTCATCACGTCGTTAACGTCGTCCTTCGAGCCCAAGAAAATTGGAGATCTCTGATGAATGCTTTCCGGAACAATGTCCAGAATATCGATGTTGCCATTTGTTGCAAGACCACCTGCTTCCTTCGTTATGAAAGCCATTGGTACGCACTCGTATAAAAGTCGCAGCTGAAATTACGAAATCACATTAGCATCAATTAATTAAATTAAATTTAAAAAAAATTAAAATTAAAATTTTAAAAAATTAAATTTAAAAAATTGAGAACAAAAAAGGAAACAAAAATATTTAACCGTGTCTCATGTCCTCCCCCTGGGAAAAATCCTATTGAATTAAAAAAAAAAATAATTTTTAAAAATTTAATTTTAAAACAAAAAAGGAAACGAAATAAATTTAATCGTGTCCTCCCTTGGGAAAAATCCTATTTAAATAATTTTGAAAATAAAAATTGAAAAAAAATTAAATTAAAAAAATTGAGAACAAAAAAGGAAACAAAAAAATTTAATCATGCCTTCCCTGGGAAAAATCCTGCGGAAAAATTCTATTTAAAAATAAAAAAAAATAAAAATAAAATTAAATTAAAAAAATCGAGAACAAAAAAGGAAACAAAAAAAATTAATCATGTCCTCCCCCTGGGACAAATTCTGCGGAAAAATCCTATTTAAATAAAAAAAATTTAATTTAAAAAATGAAGAACAAAAAAGGAAACAAAAAAATTTAATCGTGTTCTCCCCCTGGGAAAATCCTGTGGAAAAATCCTATTTAAATAAAAAGAAATGAGAAAATAAAAATTAAATTAAAAAAAATTAAGAACAAAAAAGGAAACAAAAAATTTAATCATACCTTCCCCTGAGAAAAATTCTGCGGACGCTCGTGCATCAATTGCATAATTATCGCGTCCATGAAATTTATTTTGAATATACATATATCCGAAGGCGGTAGTGGAGAGAATATATAGGTATTTTATAATAAATTATAATATATGCGCGCATAGGGTGATAATAAACACGGAAAAGTTAATTATTGGTAAATGCGCGCGTGTTATTCTCTTTTAAATTATCATGTACGATATTTCGATAAAAAGTTACAATCGCGCACGGGAGATGGATACTACATAACGCGTAAAGTCCGATAATTTTTCACATATTTACACAGAAATTGAGAGATTACCGCCATACATCGATCCGCAGCTGGAAACCGGATATCTGCCCGCGTCTAGATAAAATAATTTCCAAAGTCCGATACTCTCTATATATATATATATATATATATATATACGCTTATCGGACAGCGTAAACATCTGTTACAAAGCGAACTTGTTATACAACGAGCTGTAACGAGCTTCGTTACTCAAGTCGTCCGTGATGATAAGTATATCCGATAAATGCGGGATCGCGAAGGGTGTTTTGCTAATAATCGGGACAAAAGTGGACGCAGAAAAAATACGAAACGAGATCGTATCAACGCAAGGTTGAGAAAAGACGGCTCGGTACGCAGTTGCAAAATTTGTGTATATCGCATGTCAGTTTACAGAAATTTTCGTGTTTTCATTTAACATAACATGGGTATGTTAAATGGAGACGCGAATATCGCGTTAATATTTGAACATAAAATAAATGCGAAACTTCAGGTCATTTAAAATAAATTTGCTGCAAAATTAACATACTTTTAATGTAAAAGAATTAACTAAAAATATTTATATTATATATATGTGTATAAAAATAATTTTATCATCCCCACTTTATAATATTATAAAATCAATATTTTTTTCAAATTTTTTAACAGATAAATCTTGCCACTAATAAAACAGAACATTGTTTTATTTTAAATGTAAAAAAAGTTTAATGTAAAAGAATTAAGTAAAAATATTAATATTATATATTATATGTATATATATATATGTGTGTGTGTGTGTGTAAAAATAATTTTACCATCCCCACTTACAATATAAAATCAATATATTTTTCTCTAAATTTTAACAGATAAATCTTGCAGTAATAAAACAGAACATTGTTTTATTTTAAATGTAAAAAAGTTTAATGTAAAAAAAATTAACTAAAATATTAATATTATATATATATATGTATATATATATGTGTAAAAATAATTTTATCATCCCCACTTATATTATAAAATCAATATTTTTTATGCAAATTTTTTAACAGATAAATTTTGCTACTAATAAAACAGAACATTGTTTTATTTATTGTGTAAAATTAAAACCAGATGCAGATTGTTCCTTTTATACAGGTATTTTCATAATTTAACACGTAAATCCAATTAACACAACAGCAACATGTCAAATATTGAGCAGAAAAATTTTCCTGGGGACCTTGTTTTGAACTAGAAAGCAAATTTTCCTACTGTGTATCCTGTTTATAATGCATCGCGCTATCGCTTATCGTGTTATCTATATTTTTCTCTCCGACCTGTTTTTCCCAAGTTACGAAAGTGTTTACGTAAGCGTTCATTTAATAATTATCGCGAGATTAATACCTTGCCATTCGGATTGCTCTGGCTCGCTGGATAGAGGAAGATGCCGCCATATTTAATCGTTCGGTGCACATCGGCAACCATAGAACCCACGTATCTGGCACTGTAGGGTTTTCCGGTCGTAGGATATTTTTTCGATTGTATGTATTCCTTGATAGAGGAGTCCCACGTGCTCTCGTTACCCTCGTTAATACTGTAAATAATGTTTGTAATATCAATATTTATATTGTAAATATTTTTATTAATAACAAAAGAGCACAGAATTATGCGATTATTAATTATATTACATATAATTTTATTTAAAATATAAAATAAATAAAAATATCATAATAGATATTTTTATAATATATTTTAATAAATAAAATATATAATAATATATATATAATCAATCTAAATATAAATATATATAATATATTTTTATAAATATATTTTAATAATATAAAATATGATACTATATTATATATATATATTATTAATTTTATATAATATATATTTATATATATATATATTATATAATACTTTTTTAAAAATTTCTTATTTATATATTTCATTTTTAATTTTATAGTTATATTTTATTTTTATATGTGATTTTTATTTTTTAAATTTTATATTAATAAAATTATATGAATGTAATTAACGATCGCATAATTATGCGATTTTTGTTATTAATACGATCGATGACAATAGAACATTTTTAGTGAGAAAAATATAATTTTACAATATAAAAACAAACTAAAACTCGAGCATATATTTTAACTGATTTGCAGTTTGCGCGGCAGAATTTTAGTCTTTTGTGCAAACAAATAGTTTGGAGAAATAATGTATAAAATGTATACTATACATATACATACATATTATACAAAATACACATTAACAATAGCGTGCATTAAATTTATAAGTAGATTTTCGTCTCTTGAATTTTGTCGGGAATTATAACTCAAAGCGGGCTTTAAATTTTGCACATTTAAATATACAATAGGGTGTTTATTAATTTAGCAATTTATAAAATTCTTGTATAGGATTCCCTCTAACTTTTTAGTCGGTAAAAAAGTATTTTGATCCTAAGTAAAATATAATACGATGAGGGTTCTCGTATTGATTTTGAAAATTCTCATTTAAAATACATTGAATTTTAATCGAAATTTATCTTTTTCGATCTTCGCATTGTGCTCAATTTTTTTTTACTTACAGGCTGAGATGATCATCTTACATAATAACATTTGAAATTTTATTCATCGATTGACACACGCATCAAGATAGAATTTTTCAAGATTATTGTAATTTATCAATTTTTTGTTCCATTAATTTTATTGCTTAAAGTTGTGTTAACTTATCGATTAAAATTTTTTAGTTTTAAAATTAACGAAATTTTAATAATTATAAAACATTATAAACTATTCTAATTTGTTATAGTTTTTTAACTTAGATAAAATGCAGAAATTTTTAATTTTCTCAATATTTTAAATGGAAATTTTCAAAGTCGATGCGAGAATCTTTAAACTCGTGTTATTTCATCAAACTTTTTTTCTAAAAAAGAGTTCTATAAGAATTACAAAAATTGTGAAATTAATGGATAAAAAATCCTAATATACGATATAAATGCGCTGACTATATTTGTCTATATAATTTTTCACAATATCCTTTTTTCCAGCACGAATTCATATAATTTGTGAACTTATATAATTTCTACTTCTTTTTTTGCAATATGGTATTGGATGAATATTATAAAATTCTCCGATTAATATTTACACAATAAAAATATTAATATCACCACAATAAGATATAAAATATGTTCGATCAATTTTAAAACATAGTAAACATAATGAAATTTTTCTACACAGTAAAAAAATGTATTAATTTGACTAAACCTTTCAACTAAATATTTTGTGATTTGAACATATAAAAATATTTAAATTAAATATAATATATATCTAAAAAACATATATATTTGATTTAAATATTAATATATGTTCAATTAACAAAATGGTATTAATTTAGTTGAAAGATTTAGAGTCAAATTAACAATTTTTTTCAGTACATGTACATAGTAAAATTAATCGAATATTTTATATCTTAATTATTGTAATAGATAACAATATCTTTTATTGTGATAAAAATATTAATCTGAGAAATTCTTACAAAATTCTTCCAATACCATATATCGTCCTACAATTATCACGATTTTAAATACTAATATATGTTTATTTAACAAAATGTATTAATTTAAAATAGTATTAATTTAGTTGAAAGATTTATAATAGTCAAGTTAATTTTTTTCAGTATATATATATACATAGTAAAGTTAATCGAACATATTTTATATCTTATTGTGATAGATATAAATATCTTTAATTGTGGTAAAAATATAAATCCGAGAAATTCTTACAAAATTCTTCCAACACCATATATTGTCCTACAATTATCACGATTTTAAATACTTAAATACTAATATATGTTTAATTAACAAAATAATTAATTTAGATGAAAGATTTATAATAGTCGATTTAATTTTTTTTCAGTATATTAGTAAAATTAATCGAACATATTCTATATCTATCATAGATATTAATATCTTTTATGGTGGTAAAAATATGAATCCGAGGAATTATAAATTTCTTCCAACACCAATCTATTGTCCTACAATTAGCACGCTTTTCAGGATGAATTTGAAGAGAAAATCTGTGTATAGGTACCTATATATATTTCCTCTGTCAGGCATACGCATGTTCCTCTCGGTCAGTATAAACTCCCCGATGGCCGGGTCGTAGGTGAATCCATTAACGCCGCGGCCGATCGAGAGCACTATCATGGTTGCCGAGCCATAAAGAGCGTATCCCGCCGCGATTAAGTTTCGTCCAGGCTGCAGGGTGGCGGCCTGCGTCACCGCGGCATCCCCGGATTGTTCGGGCTGCTTCTTGTAAATTCCGAAGATCGAGCCCACCGAGACGAGGCAGTCGATGTTGGACGAGCCGTCGAGCGGGTCGAAGCAGACGATGTACTTGCCTCGCTTCTCCGTCTCCACCTCGATCACGTGCTCGTTCTCCTCGCTCACGAGCACGCACGTCGTGAAGGAGGACGTCAGCATGTTGATGAAGAGCTCGTTGCTCAGGACGTCCAATTTTTTCACCTCCTCGCCCTGCACGTTCGTGTTGCCGGCGATGCCGTACCTAGAAATTCATCGAGATGCGCCAAGCGCGTTTAAAGGGATTCTAAACATTCTTGAGACGTTGGTTGTTTTTTTCTGTTTTATCGACAAAATGTGAGATTAGATAATAAAGTATAAATAGGTTATTCTTTTTATTGGCAGTTTATACATATAAAATAAGAGCAGGCCGGATTTGGCATTAGATAAAGGAATATAAGTGAATGTTTAGATATCAGTTTGGAAACCTAGTAAACGAGAATAACTCATCTTACATTTTTGTGCACACATGAAAATGTAGGATGGGTTATTCTCGTTTACTAGGCTTCCAAATTGATATCTAAACATTCACTTATATTCCTTTATCCAATGTCAAATCCGGTCTGGTCTAATTTCAGATAAAAAACAATCCGTCTAGCCAATAAACAGATTTATAGTTTATCTAACTTCACATTTTGTCGATAAAACAGGAAAAAACAACAGACTTCTCAAAGACGTTCAGAATCCCCTTAAGGGGATGCTGACCATCACTGTTTTACCGACTTTGAATTCAAGGGCTTTTCTTTTTATTGGCTATACAGATTGAAAAATCCTTTTTTCGCAATTAAGGTGATCCGAAACATCCTTAAGAAGTCTATGATTTCCGTCCTGTTTTATCGACAAAATGTGAGGTTAGATAAACTATAAATATATTTATTGGCTACATGGATTGTTTTTTTACCTGAAGTTAGAACGCTTTGCCCTTTGTTAATATTAATACTTTAATTTGTACAGGAAAAAGATTTATCAATCTACATATCTTGATTACAGAATGATGAATTCTAAGCATTCATAATTCTGTAACCAAGATATATGAGACTATACTGATTGATCAATCTTTTTCCTGTACAAATTAAAGTATTAACAAAGGGCGAAGTGTTTTAATTTCAGGTAAGAAACAATTTGTATAGCCAATAAATAGATTTATAGTTTATCTAACCTCAAATTTTGTCGATAAAACAGGAAAGAAACTGAGGTTAGCTTAGAATCCTTTAGTTTTTTATCGGCCTCTTGCATCAGCTCATAACAATACTTATTTAATACAAAAGTTCTGCAGTTTATTTGTGCACAAAATGTGGCGCTCCCAATAGAGATGATATGAAAGAATAATACAGAAGTAATAAAAATGAAATTAAAAGCCTGTATCAAAAGATTCGTACTTGAATTAATTATATATGTATCTATATTTGCGCGCGGAATCGATGTCGAGGCATAAAACAGCAAAAAGTAGTTGCAAAACAGCGCTCCCCCATTTATTTATTATCAGTACTTTCATTGTGGAGGATTTTTCAATATGTATATTTAATAAAAAGTGAACCTAATCTAATTTAAAGTCGGTAAAACAGAACGACAGCAGCATCCCTTTAACAGCTGATTAGAATGGGAGGATTTTTCCAGGGGCATAATTTAATTTTTTTTGACGTTTATTTTTTGTTCTTTCTTAATTAACAAAATTTTTTTTGTTATTTTGTAATTTTTTAATATTAAATATGTAATTAAATTCCAGTTTTTATCCTCAGATAGAACATAAATCTCAGAATGATATCATGATGACGTCACTTAAGTAATTTTGGAAAATTTTAATATTTTATTATAATTATTTATTTTAATTATTTTTAATTATCCAAGTAGCAAACTGACGTCATTAAACGTAAAAATGACATTTTGACGTTTAATGACGTCAATTTACTACTTGGATATTTATTTATTCTATGGTTTACATATATTCTAACAATATTCAAGCAGCATAAATTAAAAATTATATAAAGCAATTATCTTATAATTAGGGAGCTTTATAGATATCTATTTTTGATTTTTTTTTTCATCTTTAAATATGTTTGAATCATTTTTGTCCAGATAACTTTTAAGTGACAAATAAAATAATTATGATCTCATTATGAGTTTTTTAAGTTCTGGGGCTCATATTACAGTCATTTTACAGCTGTATTGATTTATTATAAAAGGAATAGTTTTTGAGATATATTTTAAGAGTGAGTTATAAAGCCATTTGAAGTGCTGTTTCATCGAAATATCTTTATTTCGAAATGGCATTTGAGAATTTTAATGCGTACTTTCTCTGACGTCACAATATTCCAACAACAATAATCAAGGAGCCTTAAATTACCAAAAATCTATCGAGACAATCGTTACGATCGATATATCGCGAAAGAGTTTTTTGGATAAAAATGATCGAAGAACGATTGATACGTCAATGATTTAATTATCAGTTTCCAATCTTGACTCGAGGCAAAATCCGCGTCAGATTATCGATATAATTGAGAGCTCGGGACGCAAAAGCCCAGACCGGTTATGAAATTGCTTTATTCATGTTGATACAATAATAAATCATTTATGTGTTATTTATATGCAAGAGAGGCTATGCAGAATTGTCACGGCATAGAGACTAATGTTTACCGGCGTATATATCGGCAGCTTGAGCACGACAGTAAATGCGTGAAATTACACGCGGCTGCCGAATACATTTGAATAAAATATAGTGACGCGCGTCGGCTCGAGCGAACGTTAGCCTCAGTTGACGACGCTGTGGAGCCTTGGCACATGCACTATGCAAGGCATTAGTCGAGTTTGCTCTATCGCGTGTTAAATTGTGACCGTTCCGCATCAAGTAAAAATATCAAATCGCATATACAGGCTGCAGTGTAAAAACACAAATCTTGTTTCTTGCATATCAGTTGCACAGACTTTTTAACTTTAAATTTATACACAGAGAGAATTTTCTCGTAGAATTTACCCCGAAATGATTGATGATGAATTCATGGGAATCTAAGACAATATAATATTGAAAGAATTTTATAAGAGTTTCTCTTAATTTATAATTATTAATTATAAGAGAAACTAAAAATTAATATAAATATGTAAATAATATATGATAATAATAATATAACATAGTATATAATATATATATATATATATATATATATATATATATATATATATATGTATATGTATGTATGTATAATATATAATATAGTATATTATGTAGTATATAATAAATATGTAATATATTATGTAAATATTAATTATTAATTAATATTTACGCATAATAAAAATATCAATATCTATCACAATAAGATATAAAATATGTTCGATTAATTTTACTATATACATATTAAGATTTTTTATTGTAGTAATATTAATCAGAGAAATTTTTATAAGATTCTTCCAATACCATATTGTCCCACACAATTACCATAATTTTCAAGATAAATTCTAAGAGAAAATTCTCTCCAGGTATAATTAATATTTATATAATTTAATTACACAATATAGATTTAATATATAATTCAGGGTTGGGTAATAGTTCATTAAAAGTTAAAAAGTTAATAACTTTTAACTTAGCTGAGTTAATTTAAAATGTATTTTTAACTTCAACTAGTTATTTCTGACCTTAAACTTATTAACTTTTTTTCTAAGTTAAATTTCTTTTATCTCTGAATACCTTTATTGTTTTTTTATAAAGTTATAAATGTATTATTTTTAAAATAAAGTATTATGTTCATTTATCATCAATTGTAATTACCAAAAAAATATATTTCTATATAAAAATCAAAATTCCTTTGTTGTTTGTTATTATAAATTTTAAAAGAATTAACAAACAAAATTCTAATTTAATATAAATGTTTTTAAAAATTAACTTTTGATTTAATTGCGGTTAATTTAATCTTTTAACTTAACTAAATTAATTTTATAAACAATTAACTTTAACTTAACTTAGTTTAAATAAATCATTAACTTACCCAACCCTGATATAATTTAATAATAATATATAATTAAAAAAGAATACATTTTCAAGTAAGCAATATTAATAAAATCCACAATACAAAAAAATTTGTTAACTTGATTAAACCTTTCAACTAAATATATATTATGTTGTTAATTATTCATATACAAATATTTAAATTAAATATAATACATTAAGTCTTGCACGAAATATATATTTGACTTAAATACTAATATATGTTTTGTTATAGATTTAATATATTATATTTAATTTAAATATTTTTATATACATCTTCAATTAACAAAATAATATTTAGTTGAAAGGTTTAGTCACGTCAATAAATTGTTTCTTACAGTGCAACTTATTTTTTAAATTCTTATTTAATTTGAACGTTGCGATCCTTTCCGTTTGGAAATTCCGCATCTTCAGCAGATTGATTAACAAACAAAATTTATGTCTTGATCCGTATTCCCTTTGGACCATCTTCAGGAAATCGATTAAAAATTCATGTCTTCTACATCTTCGTTTTACGTCTTTCGTAAAATGGTCAAACGTGAAATAAATAAGGAATTAAAAATGCGTGACCTCAGCGATATACAAAAACAGTACACAGTAAACTGTTTTGTATATTGTTAAGATTACCAAAGACGGGAATATATACAAATATGGATGAGCCAAATAGAATAAAAAATGTTAAACAAGTTTGTTATATAAATAATTTTTGCACCTGATTCTTATTAATTCGTTTCCTACCTGAATTTGTGTTTATATCAGAGCCTTTTCATTTGATTATAATTTAAGAAAGAAGTAATTTAAAAAAATTTTGATAAGATATAAATAATTTTTATTATAAATTATAACACATATATATACAGGGTGTTTCAGAAAGAATTTAGCATTTTAGGACATGATTGTACACATAATTTTCTAAGCAAAAAAGTTCATATATAAATATGTGTCCTATTTTTTGAACAGTTATAAAAATACATGTTCAATTTTAGGAGCACAAATATATTTATTAACTTACTGTTAGTAGAGTCAACTATTATGAAACAATTACATTAAATTATCATTTCCTCTTATTTTTGTTATGAATACAACCATTACGTCACATTTGATAAGTTCAGTGTTAGTTTGACATTTTTAGTTTTTGTTATACATAAAATGCCTTATATTCACTCACGCAAAATTATCATTAATTAATTATTCCAATTTATTGTCAGCTAAAATTTAACGTCATTGTTTCATAGAATTTGATTATTATATTAAGTGGACCTTTATAACCGTTTAAAATAGGACACATGTTTATATGTATAAACATTTTGCTTAAAATCATGTGTACACGAAGAGAATTTTCTCTTAGAATTTACTCTCAAATTATGGTAATCCTGGGACAATATGGCACTGGAAGAATTTTTTATAAGAGGTTCCCTGATTAATATTTAAATAAAAAATATTAATATGTACATACATAGTAAAATTAATCGAACATATTTTGTATCTTATTATGGCAGATATTAATATTTTTCGTACATGGTACCACGATTATGATTTTTCAGGGTAAATTCTAAGAAAGAAAATTCTCTCTGTGTACATACACTGAAAGAAATTTATTAATTTATTGACTAAACCTTTCAACTGAATTACTATTTTGTTAATTGAACATATATTAGTATTTATATCAAATATAGGTTTTGTTAGATTTAATATATTTAATTTTTATATTTTTATATGTTTAATTAACAAAATAATATTTAGTTGAAAGGTTCAGTCAAGTTAATAATTTTGTTACAGTGTGCGGATTGACCAATCAGTGCAAAGCAACCTGTCAGCTGATTGTCAAGTGACAGTTGCGCCAATCAGATTTACATAATAATTTATTTAATCATTATTCCATTTAATTATTATTATTTATTATGATTTATATTCAATTAACAAAATAATATTTAGTTGCAAGGTTTATTCAAGTTAATAATCTTGTTACAGTGTGCGGATTGACCAATCAGAGCAAAACAACCTGTCAGCTGATTGTCAAGTGACAGTTGCCGATTGGCCAATCAGATTTATATAATCATTTATTTAATTATTATTTATTATTATTTATATTCAATTAACAAAATAATATTTAGTTGAAAAGTTTATTCAAGTTAATAATTTTGTTACAGTCTGCGGATTGACCAATCAGAGCAAAACAACCTGTCAGCTGATTGTCAAATGACAGTTGCCGATTGGCCAATCAGATTTATATAATTTTTTATTTAATTATTATTTATTATTATTTATATTCAATTAACAAAATAATATTTAGTTGCAAGGTTTATTCAAGTTAACCATTTTTCAGTGCACGATCAATCCTGTAGAACGCCGAGAGCATTTCTCCTCTGAAACACCCATTATACCAAAGTATCTCTTTCTCACGTTTAATATATATTCCAAGCTAAAAAGTATCTAATTTATAACTGAATTCCCTCGAGAGCCTGCTTTTATCAACTCGATGGAAGGTGGTGTAGGTGACGGACGATTCCGCGGTCTTGTTACGTTTTTCTCGCTGACACTTTGCCCGCGTCTACTCACATGTTAGCGATACCGGCCTTCCTCACGGCCGAACTGACGGCCTTCACGGCGGTCTGGATGCTGTTCAACAGCTGGGTGAGATCGCCGGTCGCCGCCGGCACCTTGCGCTGTTCCGCCAACACGAATCTCGTCAGCGTCATGCAGTCCGAGTCCATTATGTCTTTTGATGTCATCGCGAGCGCGTGTTCTCGAAATAGAGCGGATCCGGGGGCTCGGCTCGACGTAGACTGAAACTCGGTCTCGAAGCGCCACGTTATATAAGGCAGAGGGCAATGATTAAACCGGTTCGTTATCGCGAGAGTGAAGAAAGCAGCGACATTAGATATCCGACCATAGGCGTCCGCAGGATTTTTCCCACGAATTTTTTTTGTTCTTTATTTTTTTTTTTATTTTTTTATGAATTTTTTTGTTCTCTCTTAATTTTTCTTTTGTTATTTTCATTTTTTTAATATTTAATAATATGCAAATAGGCTGCGTCCGCAGGATTTTTTGTTTCTTATTTTTTTGTTTTTTCTTAATTTTTCTTTTCTTTTATTTCGTTATTTTAATTTTTTTATATTAAATAATATACGAACAGGTGTCCGCAGGATTTTGTTCAGTGGAATTTTTTTTTGTTATCTCTTAATTTTTTTTATTTTATTTTGTTTTCATTTTCTTTTATATTAAATAAGATGGAAATAGGCGTCCGCAGGATTTTTTCAAGTGGGATTTTTGTTTCTTATTTTTACATTTTTTCTTAATTTTTCTCTTCTTTTCTCTTGTTATTGTTATTTTTTTGATATTAAATAATATGCAAATAGGCGTCCGCAGGATTTTTTATTTCTTATTTTTTGTTCCTTCTTAATTTTTCTAAATCTATTTTTTTATTCTCATTTTTTATATTAAATATGCAAATAAATTCCAGTAAGTTTGTTCAAGTAAATGTAAAATTTTTTATTGATTCCAAAAAGGGGGCTGTCTATTCCCATGTCTTCAACATCGATTCCTCTCGGTCGGGTCGATATGTCATCATGTTTATCGAAGTGCATTATTAAATAATTCTATATGGACGCTTCGTTTATTAAAAATATTTTTGTTGTTCGTTTGATTACGTAAATGAATCTGTAAGTGTCATTCCACGTACTGCAATGACATTTGTGTGTGCGTGTGCTGCGAGATTAAAATATGAAGTTTATTTCTGAATTAGTTGGCGAAATCAATTATCGCGTTGGAGCCATACGTTATCATTGATGTTCGCAATTCACTACGCGATTCACTAGGCAAATGTTATTTTATGTTATTTTGTTAATTTGCTGACGCAAAACGCGAAACATATATTTTTGTTGGATTTATCGTAGCCACGCGCGCGCGAGTTGATTATATGTATACATAATTGTACATTGATGATAACATATTAAAGGAATTAAGTCTCTTATAAAAAACCGATAATCATGCGGAGAGTGCGCGAAACAATGACGCAGTTAATACGCGAATTTAACTCTGCAATTATTATTTCGTTATTTCTGCTCCGAGATTCTCGCTCTCGCGCGCGTGAATTTTATTTTATTTTATTTTGTCCCAGTCGCTTTTTCCGCGAGTTATTTTTACGGAATATACATATGTAATATTACTTCGGTGTAATTTGGTCTTGTGAAATACGTTTGCGATGTTGTAAACGAAAAGGACAAAGCATAAAGAAAATATTGCAGGATGATGTAGCAGTGTTCTAGATTATATATTTTGCACGCTAGGGAAGTAATTAGCATTAAGATTTGTTTCTGCGATTATATACAGGATGTTCCAGAACTAAACTGTTAATGGCAGATGTTATTATTTTTTGCAATCATGTATCTTTTGTAACTATAAGCCACAAATTAAAATTTTTAATTTAATTTTATTTTTTATTTTTAAATTTTAATAAAAATTTTATTAAAAAAAAATAAATTGAAATTTTATTAAGGTATAAACTCTTAATATTTTATTTCCACAAGACTTAGTTTGCGAGAAAGCCCCTATTTTCAATCGCTTTAGAAAATAATTGGTTCCTCGATATTTTCGCTAAAGAAAAATAGTCTCTAAATCACCTCGGGAATTTCTCATTATCGGTAAGTCTGGAACACCCTGTATATACATGTGTGTCTTCTGTTTCCGCGCGATAAACACGGTGTAACAATTTTTGCGAAAATAATTTCGTTGCTCGCCACATCGCGAAGTGTGAAAAAAAAAAAAAAAAAGAAAAGAAAAATTTTTTCACCCACCCGAAATTGATCAGAATCGCGATTTTATTCGCTATTGCGCGAATTCCAATTTAAATTAATTTCCGAATTATATTTAATTAATTGGCGATAGCGCGGCGGTCCGGTATTGCGGGACGCCGGAACTTTGTTGCGAATGCTGTTATTCCGTCGTGCAGTATAATTAAACTAAATGGCATATGACGAAATTAGCGTCGTGTAACGACGTTAGATCGATCGATTCCGCGTATACGCGGTAAACACGTAACGGCAATTTGCGGCCCTCATCGCGACTATATTTTACGTTTTACGCAAATTATTCACTTTCCGCGCGCGCACTCCGTAACAACAACTTTATTTAATTCACCGGCGATATTACATCAACGTTTCGTTGCATGCGAAGGACTTAATGAAATAAGCAATCTTATCAACGTTAATTTGCGCGAGACGCGAACTCGCTGTCTTCCACGTGTATGCGCTCGCGAAAAATTTTCCAACTTTCGCGCTCGAGTGCCGCATTTTCCGCATCTTCTCTCTCGGTCGGTAGATAAAAATTGTAAGAATCCGAGTCGGTTGATGGCGGCCTCTCCATCTCCGAGACGGACGCTTTTACGTATAGAGGAACCGCAGTGAAAATTTCGGTGTCGCGCGACGTCAGTAATTATTTAAAGAAATGTCACACTAGGCGACGATGGATATTCTGATGCGACCCGTAAAACTCGAGAATCGACCGTGGGGAGGCTTTTATAAAATCGATGAGCTTGAATCGTCGCGCGGCGATGTTTACGATTAGACTCTCGCATTTGAACGGTTCGTGATGCCATTCGATCGCGAAATGTCGTGCAACCTGGATAAATAACGCTGACCATTCGTCCTATATTTTAGAGGACGGACTTTATACGTTGAAATAGTTTTGCCCTTTAGATTTATTCCGAAACTCACCATTTTGTCCTTTATTCTTAAAAGCTTGTTTGTTATTTTTTATTTAGCGTCAATTTATTTAAGAAACCACGGATTTGCTCAACACAGTCGAATCAGTTTCTAACTATAAGAATACGCAGACTTCCGATAGTCACTTATTGTCACTCATAGTCACTTATAGTCACTCATAGTCACTTGTTAACCACTTATAGTCACTGATAGTCATTTGTTTTGCGCTCATCGATTTTTACTTTGCACTTGCAAACTGGCTTGGAAACATGTTGAAACAAAGCCCTACAGTTTTCAGGTTTGTCCTTTATTTATTCGTCCTATATTTTAGAGGACAGACTTGAAATAGTTTTGTCCTTTAGATTTATTCCGAAATTCACCATTTTGTCCTTTATTTTTATTTTTTATTTAGCGTTAATTTATTTAAGAAACCAAGGATATGCTTCAACATAGTCGAATCAGTTACTAACTATAAGAATACGCAGACTTTTCATAGTCACTTTTTAGCCACTTATGATCGCTTATAGTCACTGATAGTCATTAATTTTTTGCTCATCGATTTTCACTTTGCACTTGCAAACTGACTTGAAAACATGTTAAAACAGAGCCCTAAAATTTTCAGGTTTATCCTTTATTTTTTTCTCAGAAAATATGGTCACCGTATATGTATAAAGCAAACGTATTTTTAATACTTGTCGCAAAAATGACGAGGAAAGGATACAATAATTTTTTTTCCGTTCAAGAATCAGCGATTTAATTGAAAAATATGATTTTAAAGGGAAGTGGCTTTTAATTTCTGTGTTCCAAAAATTCCACTTGAAAAATCAAACATTTGACTCGGATATAAAACGGATATTTCGTATTAATAAAATATTTGAGTACGTGTAATATATATGCATTTATATATTTGTTTGTACTATTTGAAAAAAAAATTTAATTTAAAAATATTCCGAAAAAAATTAAACACTTCCTCCAATATAAGCAAACATATCTTTACATTAACTCGTAGAGGGAAAATGTAGTTATTTCGATCAGAATATATAGATACGTGTTCTCGTCAAACTGTCGAGTCGAGTTACGTAATCATACTTCTCAATTTTTTACGAGGAGAGCAACGACGCCCAACGGAGAATCCGCAAGAATATTTAATCCTTCGGGAATTTATATACTTGAACGCGACATCGTTATTGCCATGCACAGTCACGCATAGCCTCGATGCTCCGAGAGAATCTGCATATTATGTAAGCGCGTTACCTGTTTCTGTTATTACTTAGTGTGGAAGATATATAGGGTGTAACTAAAAAAAAAAAAATTTCCTCTTTTAGTTAAAACTAAATATATGTAAAATTTGGGTCTACAAGTAAACAATAGGAAAATAAATTCGAATTTGGATATTTATTGACACATAAAAATTAAAAAAAAAATTAATTAAAATAAAAATAAAGATATAAGATATAAAATAAATTCGAATTTAGATATTTATTGACACATCAAAATTAAAAAAAATAATTAAAATAAAGATATAAGATATGAAATCTGTTTGATTAATTTTAATATGTAACATAGTACAAAATTTACTATGTACATATTAATATTTTTTAGTTTCTGGTAAATATTAATTAGAGAAACTCTTATAAAATTTTTCCAATACCATATTATCCTATGATTACCCTGATTTTTAGAATAAATTCTAAGAAAAAATTCTCTCTGTGTCGGAAACAATTTTTCTTTAGCGAAAATGTCAAAGAAAGCCATCACTTTTTGCACGCTCTCATTTTTTGCTAAAATATATCTTTGTAACTAAACTTTAAATTAATATTCTATTAAAGTAACCTCTACCTAAAATTCATTGAAGAATGTAGTTTTGTTAATATTTTAACTCTATACAAAATTTAGCTGGTGAGAAGTTTTTCTACTTTAATTATTGATAATTTGACAGTTATAATTATTAATTATCTTGATATTTTCACTGAAGAAAAGTCGTCTTCAAATTGACCCGAGAATTTAATGCTCTATGCATATATTTTTGCGCGCTTGTTTAAACCTCTTAATTTATTAAGAATCCGATTTAGCGAGTATAATTAAAAAAAAATATATAT